GAGGGTTCCGGCCTCCGGGGGAGGGGGCTGCCCGGGGCATTCTTGAACTTTCAGGCCTGGGTCTCCCCTAGCCCAGCTGGGGGCACTGCTCAGGATAGCGTCGCCCCTGCAGTTTGGGGGAGTAGGGAGTTGGGAATCGAACCACTGGTGTCGTGGGCATCTCTAGACATCCTTGTGGGTCACAAGCGCCTCCTTCAGCCTCCCTCCTGTCCATCTCCTTTCTCTGCAGTTAGGCCTACCCCGTGTCCGGCAAGTCCTTAAAGTGCTGGTCAAGCTGTTGCCCCTGACCACTGAGCCATCATCAGGCTTCGGGGGGACCTTCCCTTGGACCTTAGTACTGCAGTTGCCAGCGTGCTTTTATGACTCTCGGTGGCTTGCTGGGGGCTGACCCTTGGCCGCTGAGTGGGCAGCCGTGTGTCTCTGTCCTGTGGAAGCCCTGGGCCCCCTCTGTCTGCATGCCGTATCTATTGGGGCAGGTGTGCTGGGTGAATGGCTACGGGGACTGGATGGGGGTGCCGCAGTGACCGTCGTGGGAGTCCGTGGCTAACAGCCTGCCCAGGCCCTTCTCCCTAGGATGCCATAGGAGGGGCTTGTCCATCCAGTCTCCCCTTTCCCAAGCTGCCAACTCTGAACTTGAAGCCAACAGGGTGGAAATTTTCTGCGAGACTAGGGTGGTTAGGGCCAGGCTCCAGGGGAATTGAGACTTTTGATTGGCTTCAGAAATGGAAGAGGCGGTCCCTTGCAGAGATGGTCTCTTGCTGGTTGGAGGGAGCAGGGCTGAAGAGACTGCGGCGGTGATGGGTGATGGCAGGCACACCAGGGGCTCAGGAGCGCTGGCTGGAAGGGTGGGAGGGGCTCACCTGGGGAGCACCCGGCTACCCCAGCTGGGATCCTGCCCAGGCGGCTGGACGGGCTCAGGGGCGTGTGCAGGCCATGTGCCCACAGCAGTCTCACTGGTCCTCTCCTTGGCACAGGGATGCCCTGGACGCGCTGGGCCTGAAGCGCTACTGCTGCCGCCGGATGCTCCTCGCACACGTGGACCTGATCGAGAAGCTGCTCAATTACGCACCCCTGGAGAAGTGACTGCTGGGACGCGCCCTGCTGCTGCGGGCCGGGCGGCCGGGGCCTGGCCCGAGTTCATTAGCCGGTGCTGGGGGTGGCGAGCAATGCCTAGCCATGCTGCACAGACACGGAGTCCCCTCTGGAGGAGCCACCAGTAAAAGTCTTTGTAGAGCCACCGAGAGTTCCTGGCTGTGTGGGGCTCCCTGTGCCCACGTTCCAAAGGAAAGGGCCCACTCTTGTGTGGTGACGCCGACAGAGCCTGTGGTCGTGCGTGAACCCCAGCTGCCTGGGCCTGGCCCTACAGCTAGTTTGTCCCCCAGGGGACCCTGTAAGAGGCACCAGACGGGCTTCCACCTCATGTTCTCTCATGCCCGGCCCACAGGGTGGGTGCCCAGGGCTGCATGCCATCTTCACTGCCAGGAGGAAGGACGTCATCTGCCCCAGACCTCGGAGGCGGGCTCCCTTTGGGGTACGTGCTGCCGTGGCCCAGAGAGCCAAGAATGCTGGCATCCTTGTCCCCGTCCTGAGCACCCTTCAGACAGCACAGGCCCCACTGCCTGTCGGGTGCCAAAGAACCAGGGTTTTCTGGCATCTAAACAGTGTCTGCTCTTTACCCACTGCTAGATCTGCTGGCCCACTGTCTAATCCTAATCCAGGCTCCACCAAAGCCGAGCAGCAGGCCAGGCCCCTTCGTGTGGGCAGGTTCCCACGCCAGCGCGGAGACCCTCAGCCAGGCCAGAAGGCGGCCTCCGTGAGGGCCCGGGCGTCAGCACTGGATGCTGTGGCGGGAAGAGCCAGCTCCAACTTGGGCTGCGGCTTGGACACAGGGGCTGTGGTCCTAGTGCCCTCTAGGGGCAGAAGGCAGGTGGGCACAGGTCGGTGGGGAGTTGGGCCAGAGCCCACCTTTGGGCTGCCCAGACTTCCGACCCGGAGTCCCGGGGGAAGAGGGGTTTGTCCCCCACTGACAGTCAGCTTCAGGAACAAGCCAGGGCAGCCCCAAGGGCAGAGGGGCATGGTGCTGAGTGTGGCACCCTCTCCGGGTAGTGTCTTCCACACACCCTGCCCTCTGCCTCCCCCTCGTGTGGCCAACAGCTCCTGCCTACACGGCCTCCTACTCTCTACTCACATCTGTTCTGCACGGTGGCCGCAGGGTCTCGGGGACTCACAGGGGTTCAAGGCACACTGCAAGGTCATGGGTCGCTCTGTCCTTTCCCTTCTGCAAGGACTGTGACCACACCGCCAGCTCTCCTCTCACTGAGGTCCCCACCCCGAGCCCGGTGGGCTCGCCTGCCCTTCATCAGAGGCTGAGCAGGTGGATCTCACCCTGCCGGACATGAGGACCCTAAGAAAGAACTGTCTCATTGAAAGTCACTGTCCGTTCTACCAAGGTTTATTAAGCCCCTGTCACATGGCAGGGGCATTTGAAATACAGCAGTAAATGAAGCCAGTAACCTTGTCCCCTCACGGGACATTCTAACAGATGGCAGGAAAGTGGTGGCATCTTCCACTGATTTAAGAGCAGTGGGGGAATAAGGCAGGGCTGTGGTTGCCGGGAGAGGGTGGGATGGGGCCACACAGCTCCAAGGCAAGGCTCCAGGCCCTGGGCACCTGGACATGCGTGTAGACCCAGGGCAGGCACAAAGTCCCCTTACCCAGCCTAGCATCCCTGCACCCACTCCACCTGCTTCTGGTGACCGCAAGGTTGTGTACGGGGGCTGGGCCAGCCCAGTTCTGCCCACACTTAGCCCCAAAACCACTCACTGCTAATAGGCATCGAGGAGCACCCCAGCGCCCCACCCCGGAGGAGGTAGCCTGTAGTACGGGGCAGCTCCAGCTAGCCCCCCACACACACCAAAACGGGCACATACACCATCCTTCACCTCCTCCGGGGCTTGGGTCTGGTTGTTCAGTGAAAGGCACTTGAAGCTACCTCTGGGCAGTGCCAGAGGCCACAGTAACGGCACAGGGTTGGAGGGCGCGGTGGGCCCGGGTGATCAGTGGTCAGCGCAGTGGTCGGGTGGGAAGCCGTGCAGCAGCAGGCGGGTGTCAGTAGTGCTCCAGCTTCAGGCTCCTGTACAGGCAGCACGTGAAGATCATCCCAAAGACCTGTGTGCAGAGCCAGGCAGCGTGAGTGATGCCGCAGGGCCACCAGCCAGCCCCGCGTGTCACTGTCGCCCCCGTGTGGCCACACCTGCACGCAAGCGATGCCGATGCCCACAGCCCCGATGACTCTCAGGTGTTCCTGGATGAAGGTCTCCAGCTTGGTGATGCAGCCTCCCTGCAGTGTAGGGCCGGGTACAGAGTTGAGCCCAGCTGGCTCCCCCACACCATGGCCCCAGCCCTGCAGGGAGGCTGCTCCGTGCCTTGGTGGGCACCTCCTACCTCCACCTTGTAGATGTTAGAAGCATGGTCCCGCCTCCCACAGCCGTCCACCACTGTCTTGCAGCAGCTGTCGGGGACTGCACGGCCACCTGCCTCACGGGAGTGGGTCCACTCACTGTCCTCCCAGTCCTGCGAGTTGTTGCTGCCACAGCAGTGGAACTGCAAGGGGGACACAGCACAGGCTGTGCATACTTCATGCGCGGCAGGGGGCAGAGGGGCTGAAGCACCCCTCCCAGTGCCCCACACACACCTCCTGCTGCAGCTTGTCCACTGCACTGGTCACGCCCTCGTGGCCTGGCTGGTGGTAGCGCTTGGTCATGGTGGCCTTCAGGTTCTCCTTGAGCTCGGTGTTCAGCTGCAGGGCGGGTGAGAGAGCTTCAGCCTCAAAGTCAGCCGAGTCCCTCCTGGGTGAGGCTGGGAGAGCCCAGGATGGTGGGAGAGGCCAGGGAGGGCTCAGCCAAAGGGAAGGGTAGGGGCCAGAGGGGACTGAGAGGGGTGTTGGGTGGGACTGGAGACGAGTGTGACAAGGGTGGGGTGGGGTGGGGTGCTGCTCTCCATGAGCACCAGCGTGGGCACCTTGTCTGCCCCCAGAGCCCACCCTCCTGAAACTAGACCCGCCCCGGCGCACAGCTGCCAGCTCTGGAGCAGTGAGGGTAGAGAGGTGGCGTGGTGTGTGTGCTCTGCAGACGCACACCCCGAGCCCCTCCGTGTCCGTGTCCCGTCAGCATCACCTGCGCCTGGCCCTCACCTGCTGGTAGTACACGTAGGCCAGGACGCCAGCGATGATCTCCAGCAGGAAGATGACAAGGAGCAGGAGGAAGTACTGCGGGCAGAGATGCCCTGCGTTAGGACTCCCTGCCCCGACTTCATGGGCACAGCCCGTGGGGGGCTGGGGTCTTCTCTCGGCCGCTCCAGCTAGAACTATGCAAGGGGGGCGGGTCCCGCAGAGGAGCTTCCAGTGACAAGCCTGTCAGGGCCCCAGAGCCAGCCCCAGCTCACCCCAACGCCCCCACCCCTCGCTGACCAGGCGCAGCAGGTTCCTCCGCTCCTTGAAGGTGGCGCAGCAGCCCAGGACACCGGTCACCATGACAACGATGCCAGCCACCACCAGGATGTAGGCTGTGGCCAGGTAAGTGCTGGAGGCCAGCAGGCTGATGTAGTCACTCTTCAGGGCGAGTGTCCAGACACCCACTGCCATGACAGCGAGGCCAGCCAGCTGTGGGCGGTACACACCGGTCACCCCTCCTGCCCAGCCTCCAGGCCCAGGCAGGGGTGGGGCGGCGTGCTCACCCAGAAGCAGCAGTTGTAGGTAAACAGCAGGTACTTGAGGCAGACCGTGCCGCACGTTGCCTTCTTCTCATTGAAGTCACCCATCCTGAGGCTGGGGGCTGGTGAGCCAAGAGCGGGGGCAGATGGCCCAGAGCGCCAGGCCCCTGACACTACAGGGGAGCCAGATGCCCAGCCAGGCTGGAGCCAACCACTTGCCCTGGGAGAAGACCTGGAAAGGAGATGGCCCAGCAGCCAGGACATGAGTCATTTCCTGGGACGACAGCTCAGAGGCCCTGACCCCCATGCAGTCTAGGCGGACCCCGGGGCCCACGGGGGATGGGGGGAGTGGCTCAGGGAGGACTCCTAGCTGCCACCGGCTGACTTAGCCCTGCTGGTGGCCAGGGAAGGAAGGCCCGGTGGCTCACCTGAGGGTGTGCCCAGGCAAGGCCCACCCAGCACGCCCCCCGGCATTCTCTGGGCCCACATCACTGGTGGCAGGGATCTATGGGCCTGGGGAGGGGGCACTGACAATACATCCCCAGGGGTGGCAGCAGGGCACAGTGCTCAGACCAGCTCGGCTCCTTAGGAAGGCTCATGGGCTGTCCCCTCGTCTGTCACAGGGCAGCCAGAGCCAGGGGCACGGAGGGAATGGAGGCGGCAGACTCTCCACCAGACCTGGGGTGGCTCTCCCTCAGAAAGTGGGAGCCACCCAGCCCCAAGGTGAATGCAGAAACAGGCGGTGCTCCTCCCCAGGGACCGCAAGGGACTTGGATGTTTGCGCTGTGGAGGGCGGGGAGGGGAGGGCTGCAGACAGCAGCTGGGCAGCCTCAGGCCGTATTTCCAGACAGGCTGCTGCCAGGGCTGGACTTTTACCACCAGCCAGCTCCACCCCTCACGCCGCCTCCCAGGCCGGCTGCAGACAGCTGCTCTGCAGGACAGGTGGACTGACGCTTCCAGCAGAGTTGCTTAGAGGGACAGGGACAGTCACAGGGCTGGCCTGTGCTGGACGCCAAGACCCTGCCACCCTCCTTGCAGCCACCAGGGGCAGTGGACTAGAGCGCTTCCAGAGTAGGGTCTACTCTGGGGCCAGGAAGAGGAGCGGCCAGGCCTGGTATTTAGGTCTGGCCCAGGGTGGGGCAGGGCAGTGGACATTTCTGGACAGTCTGATCCTAGGAGGAACCTCATGCCTTCTCTAGGCACCCCGCCCTGGGCCCAAGCTCCAGACCTGTTACTGTCCCTTCCCCCACCAAACAGCAGCAGCAGCAGGGTAGGAGAGAGACAAGGCCGACCCTCCACCCTGGAGCTGGGCCAGAGGGGCATGGCCCCCAGCCTCAGGGCTGGAGGGTGCAGCGGGTGGGGGCACAGACCTGGGCCCTGAGCCAGGGTGTGGAACAGCCTGTGACCACTGCGCCGAGAGCAGACACACACACCCAATGGCGGCCGGGCCAGAGGACACGCTCCACCTGGGGGTGACAGACCCCTACCGCTGACCCAGGAGGGTGCCTGAGCCCACCCACTCAGAGGTGAGCCTGGGCTTGGCTCTGGGGTCCTAGGCCTTCTGGGAGGTTGGTTCTGGACACGGATCCAGCCCCAGGGCAGGTCACAAGCACCCGCCGAGGAGCAGCCCTACTTCCCAGGAAAGCCTGGTGGATGTGAGCCCCCTGGGAGAGCGCCGGCGTGGGAGTCTGGCCAGCCAGAAATAGCGCCTGCAAAAGGACACAGCTGTCCCTCCCCACCCCGGCCCTCCAGCAGCCTGTCCCGGAATCAGGGGGAACGGGACTCCGTTCCAGCCAGGTCGGTGAGGCATCCCCGCGTCCCCAC